GTCACACACAGTGTCGGAATATATGGATTTGGTAGGTTTGCATTCTAAAGGCTTTTAAATAAATATGGCAACATTTTGTTACGTTTCATTGTTGCTGACTCGTAGTGCGGTGTTTTGAGAGTGACGTAAAGCAAACAAAACTTGAGTTGCGTGTACGGTGTATTTTTTATAGCCATTCATTTTTTGCTACTTCCTTAAAGTGTCGGAATATACCGCGTTTACCCCAGTTACCTAACTTGGAGTCTTTGACTGAACATGAATTTACTTAGGCCACCTGTGACCTGTCACACACACACACACTCACACTTAGACATGACAATGGTAATTGGTACAAGTAAAAATTTTTAAATTCTGATGATCATAATGATAATTACTGATAGCTATGTTGTTTAAACTTCAGGGAAGTGTTGGATGAGTTTAGTCATCTATGAAGTAAACATTTCTATGAATTTAAGGCTAATCAAAAAGGTAGGGTAAACGCACCATATTCCGACATTGTGGGTAATTCCAATACTTCTCAAGTTTTTCCTATATATTAAGCTTTGTCTTAGTTCCACGCATGCTTAGATGGTTGAAATAGTGGCGTCATACTATTGCAAACCAGATTTCTGCAAAACACTAGGTCTGGTAAGAAAATGTTGAGATCCTCAGAGCGAAAGTCTACGTCACCCAGTGAGAACATTGAAAAACGTGTCAAAAGTTGATAGTTGACCTTGCTATACCAAATAGTGATAAACTGTTTGTTTAGAAATAATTTTATGGTTTGAGACTTTTAAATAAGTCTGTGAATATATTAGGAATCCTCTAAGTATACTTGTATTTGCTGATTTTAAGTTGTAAATAAATTAATAGATGATTAAGTTAAGAGACGGTTTTAGACACATAAAAACTAATTCTGATACAGCTCGGAATTGGACACACAGCTTGTTCCGAGCTGTGTCGTATTCCAATACAGCTCGCTCACACAGGGTGTTGGAATTCCAACACGGGGCATCAGAATTATGAATAACGGTTTTGAAGCGTTGTCAGAATTAGTCTCACAATATGCCAAATTTAGTCACACACAGCATCGGAATTCAGCGATTTTGTAGATTTGAATTCTAAAGGCTTTTAAATAAATATGGCAACAGTTTGTGATGTATCATCATTGCTGGCGCGTTTTGAGAGTGACATAAAGCAATCAGAACTCGAGTTGCGCATACGGTGATCTTTTTATAGCCATTTATTTCTTGCTACGTCCTTAAAGTGTCAGAATATGGTATGTTTACCCTATGGTTATGAAATTCAAACTTACAATAAATTAAATTATTTATGAAAAGTTTTGTTACTAATAAAACTACTGTCAATGCCACATAAGTTGCCACTTTTGGAAAACCTCCTAGAATACATTAAATTTTAAAATACCACGAAGCTAAAAATCAAATATAACCCTTGTAAAGAGTTGGCATAGGCATGTTTTTAGTGGGAAAAAATCGTCTTTTTTTTTATTGCTTGGATCATATTATTAAATGGAAGTTTTTGAGACTTGTCAGGAGTTGCAAGGTATAAAGTACTAGCTACTTTGAAGTTGCCAACAATATTAACAAAGTGTACACTAAAGTCGCCATAGCCTGGCAAAGTTATTGCAGATTTGCAGTCTTTGCGTGAATTGCGCCTATGTGATGTACAGTAGATATTAGAGAAAGCCTAACACTGACGTAGAAGTTAGAACAAACTCTCTAACTTTTGGTTTTTCTTCAACAAATTACTGAAAAAAATTTTAAATATTGATTTTAAAAAATAAACGTAACCCCAAGAAATAAATCTTTCTCCTAGCTACCACATTTTAGTGGATTTGCTCTAAGATTGAATTTTGTGATTGGTAGAAGCTGTTATTTTCACTGCATCGATGTTGGGAGGGCTGTTCAGTGTTCATTCCATTCATTCAATTCTACTTTATTGAAAAAATGCACTTCATGGATGAACATTCAGTATGAAAAAATTAGCCTGTTACTGCTTACTGCATGTACCTAATGTAGCACACTAGTCAGCAATTTGAAAAGAAGTCACTTTGAGTGCAAATTTCTTTGTATGCAGCGTGAACAATTTTTTTGAAATGAAAAAATGTATTTCCCTACCCCATCTTTAACTCGAGGTCCGAATTTACGGCTGAAAAAAAGCGTATTTCTGTATTGCCCGCAAATAAGAGATCTTGACCACTGAAATGCTTTTGTAGAGTCCACTGCCAGACACTGTAATATTAAAGGCAAGTAACTACACCCACGAAATTATGTCGCAGACTTGCAAGAAATAAAGAGAAAGACCTTAATGTATTCCATCGACTTAATCAACTCGGCATCATTCCCTTTTGAAAAAGGCCTTAGGTACACAGAGGTCCTATGTTCTTAGCAATGTACCTAGGTATAGTATAAAAGAGCTCACGGTATACACAAATTTGTCAATTTTGTTGGGGTCTTCTACTCTTCTTCCCCCCTGTGAGGCTGTGAGGGTAGTTAAGAACACTCATAGATGACTTGTGTAGGAAAGTTTAGTATTACACGCAGAAACTGTCTCTTGAAAGAGTGTTTAATAAGTCTCACACAAATTACCTCTTTCAAAAGTGGTTATTGGGTCTCGCTTAAACGGCCTCTGTCAAGAGTGGTTAATAGCTCTCTTGCGAATGTTCTCTTTCAAGAAATGTTAATGGTCTTGCACAAATGGCCTCTTTCATGAGCAGCTATTGAGGCTGTCATGAATGGTCTCTCTCAAGAGTAGTTTGTATAGGTCTTGCTCAAACCTCTTGCAAGATTGGTTACCATGCTCAAATGGCCTCTTGAAATTTTTGCTTCTTTAGCTGTTCATTGATGCATTCTTTATCTTGAAATGGGCTCATTGACGCTATATTGTACTGTGAATATAAGTTGCATTAATTGGTAGCATCATATTATAAATAATTTTCCTTCAAATTTGGTTCTAGTCATTTCAATATTTACCCTTGTTTCCACTTCTTGATGCAACATATTCAAGACATAAGGGTAAGGTGGCCCAGTGGTTACAGTTCAGAATATGGTGACTGAAGCAGTAAGGTGCTGGTTCCATCCAAGCTCCCTGCTACAGTTCTGGTCAGAGTAGTGAGGAGGCGGGGTTCTTAAGCGCAGCAAAATTAGAGCACTGAGTTGCCACATTTGAAACTGCAACAGGCTGTAAAAATTCTGCAATTTTAAGAATCGGTGACAGGTAGTACATCCTAATGACTGCTGAAACCCCTATATATATTACTATATCAACTGTCACAGACACCAATATAGTTCCAGCCTTTGATACTGAAATAGATCATGGTAAAATATTTTAATATTTTCTCGATCTATTTGTACATATTTGATTTTATTCCGGCCATGAAAGGAGAAGGAGTATCAATTAAAGGATAAGACTATATGCGTAACAAGGAAATAAATGGTCAATGTAAAACTAATAAACAGAATTTATATTCTCATTGTGATTACACTTGTCAAGAATGGAAATTATTCACTTGCTGAGGCAAGACAACATTCTGCAAGGATTTGTTGAGGTCCACCACCATGACATGGGGCCATTCACTAAAGTTATGATGTTTATGAACATCCCGCAGTAATTGTAAAGAATTCATCAAATTTTTATTTTCCAAAAAATTGCTCATCCACGATCTAAGCATTTTGCTCTCCAACTTTTGACCAAATCTGTAACAAAACTTCAACCATCATACGTATCAAGGTCCTTGCTCCCCAAAAATGTCTCTTGGACATGCAATCAGTGCACCAGGCATACATTAAGATTTGGGTCAGGTCATAGGAAAGCATCTATTGGCCAAATACTCAATCTAATAACAACAGAGCAACAGCTCATGCTTTTCTGAAAGTGCGGTTGGTTTGCCTGGTACACAGCCCTCCTCCACTCTCTCTGCGATGCGACCCGAGAGTCTTGCCTGTCACACGCATGAGCATGCGAGCAGCGCATGCAGTGAAGATTCTCCTTTCTGCAGGCTGCAGGAGCATTTCCCATGTCCTTTTGCCTCCTCAATTTTAGTTTTCTTCCTTTTCTTGAAGTCTTTAATAACCCAAAATAATCTTATTTACATACTTGAGCAAATAAATGAACCGTATTGATCACACAAAAAAATGTATATATATATATTTTTTACATGCATTTTATCTTCTCAAGTTTGTTTATGTGCTTGAAATTTTTTTTATTTGTTTTAATTTATTCATTTTAAGAGATTTAATGAGGTAGTTTACATTTTTAAGATTATTTGTAAGAAAGATAACTTGTGTCAGGCTTATTCAAACGAGCTCAGAAACTTCTATGAACTGATGCAGCGCCATATGCTTCATTTGCGTAACTCCTATCAATGCACAAGTGTAGTAGTGCACGACTTTGAAATTCATTTTACAATGTTTTTAAATGAATTGATAATTATGTGTGCGAATTGATAACTATATGTTATCCTATGATGTATTCATATCAAATAAACAGCTGGTGTTTGTTAGACATGTTAGTTGATTTTTGGAGTTTATGGATGGAAATTAGTAGATTATGAGTGATGTGTTGAGAGAGTTGTGCGCAGGCATGTACTTAGTATATACCTATGTGTATTGTTATGAGCAAGTTGCATTGTTGTGTTTTTTAATAATATTGAATGTATGGCATATGTTTTAATATTTTAAAAATAACATACTTGAAACTGCAAACTTTGAAACTTGGCAAAATTGTCAAATTTTTTAGTAAGGAACTGCTGTAGGAGTCTATCTGTTAAATGGGTAAATTTGCTAAGGGATTATCTATGTAATTTACAATGAAATTATATTGTGCAGGTCTGGTCCGCTTGGTTCTGCTGAATCTGGAGACTAGCAGAGCTCTTCATGATGCTGCGTGAGGAAGAAGAAGGTGGCTCTCTGAGCCTGACGGAGATGTTGCTCAAAGAGCTTGAGTCTGAAGTACTGAAGTCTCATAACTTCTGTGATGACGAGCTGTCCCGCGACGCTCACACTCCTCCAATGGTGATGTCATGGCAAGCTGCTCTCTTGAAGCCCAGTAGCAAAGACCCTCCTGAAGGTCAGTCCTTCATGGAGATGCTGGATGGAGAGGTTAGAAATGAAGCTAGTGGCATCAATAGCCTTTCAGAATCATCCATGGATTACATCATTCAGCGGTCTCAGCGGACAAACATTAGTGATGAAAAGCCTGCTGTGGAGCGTATGCCTCCCAGCATGCCTCCATATCCTCTTCCCAATGCTGCAATGCCTCCTCATCCTGTTCCCAACACGGCACCACCTCCTCATCCTGTTCCCAACACGGCACTACCTCCTCCTTCAATGATGAACCTCCCACCTCCCCAAAGTTATGGTATTCCGCCTCCTAATTTGCCTTTCCCAGCAATGGGGCCAATCTCAGTGCCACCTCCGTCATCTGTTCCTCCCACAGGGTGCCCCATGGTCCCCATGATGTGCCCTCCCCCGGCTCCATGCCCGCCGCCATTCATGAATGGCATGTATCCTGCAGGGCCGGTAAATTTCAACCAATATGGTCAAACGCCATTTTATGGATATGGCAACACTAACTACAGTAACACCAATGTATCTTTTTCGTCAGTTGCTGAAATACCGGACACTACGCTAGCCACTCAACTCAAGCTTAAAAAGAAAAAGAAAACTAAGAAAGAGCCTAAAGATTCATCTGATGCAATAATATTTGCTGACGCGGCCACTAAATCCCCCAGCCCAGATTCTACCAAGGCTCCCACTGCGGCAATTCAAGAATCTGTAGCATCCATTGTCCCTCCTACTCCAGACTCTCCCAAAGTCGCACCTAAAACTCCAGTTGAATCTATAGTTGCTAATATGAAGCATGTGAAGGAACACAAACTTGTCATAAAAATGGATAAACGAACTTTGAAAGAGAAAACGCCCGTGAAAATGCCCGATAAAAAGCGAGCTGCTGTAACGGAATATGCCAGCGAGTCCGATGATGGTGGTTACGACGTTGAAGCCTACAGAAAACGACAGCTACATCGATCGATTACATCAGTAAGGCTAGATGAGAATGAAGGTCTTCCAGAACTGTATTCAAAGCTGAAGAAACTAAATGAAGAATTAGCTATGCTGCAAAAGAATGAAGCATCTAACAGCTCCGAATCTGAATCCTCAGATAGCTCTAAAAAAGAACGAAATTCTTGGTCCAAGAAGAAAAAGAAGTACGATTTGAAGAACAAAGAAAACCATAACAATGGGAAAACTTTGGACAATTCCACTTGCCGAGCAAGCCCATTAGTGATATCGGAAGAAAACTCAACTGCTCAGCGAACTAAGTTAGATGTCAGAATCAAGATGCTTATTAATGATGAAAAGACTACTCCGAGTAGAACATCATCAATTTTGACCAAGCCTGACACTCCTATTAGAACTGCACCTGCTGAGGAGCTTCACGATCCAAAAGGCAGGACTGTCTCTTTCGAAAAGCTTCCTCCGCCTTCAGCTGCCATCGTAGCTGCTAGATATTCTCAGCCACTCGATAGAGCTCCATCTCCTTTTCTTTCCAAAGAAATATATCATTACTGGCACAAAGAGTCGGTCAAATTTCGCAAGTTTTTGAAGAAATCCCCCAAATTTATTCATATTGATGCTTTTGGTCGATACAAATTTCGCAAGAACAGATTTGCACCAGTCACTAAAAATACGTTGCGTTCTGCTGAAGCTTTGAATATTTATTCAATGCTGGATCGAAAATTGGTAAAAAATACGGCGTCTTTAGAGAAAAAAGCTTCAGAAGATCACGAGAAGGCCGCCGTGTCGGCTGAAATCGAAGAAGATTTAAAGCGGCTTGAAGCCATCACTCGCGAGCTTCAAATGTTGGAAGAGGAGGAGAGGAAGGCCCAGGAAGGAAGTATCAACGAGTATGACGATGCACAGCTACTCGAGACTGCTGATCAGCATGACAAGATGAACAAATTGGACCATAACGATTCTCTCTTGGAAGTTTCTGATGACTATAAAAAATTAGAAGAAATTCGGCGGCAGCTCCGAGAATTGGAGGAAGAAGAAGCCCGTGAGCAGAGCCAATTATTGACGTCCCGAGACGATAAAACAGCTCCTAAAGAAACCGACGCTATTCTTGACGATAAATTCGACAGCGATTGCGCTACTTTTGATGTGGAAAGTCTTCAAAAGACCTTATCTGCTGAGCTGATGAAAACGGATAGTCCAAATCCGGGAACGAACTGTGTTCAAGAACGAAAATCTGAACCTGAAAATGTTACTCAGAAGGCCAAGAATAATAGGGGTGTAAAAAGGGCCCCGGATGAGCATCTTATTTCTCTCGTAATGAGTTCTGTGATGGAGGAACTTAAGAAAGATTTGAAGACTTCCATAGCCAACAATCTCATGCAGAACCAGCATAAGAAGCTGGATGCTTTCGCAAGCAAGAAACAGAAAACAGAAGCTTGAAGAAAATGATTCGGTGATAAGAGTAGTTTCTGCAATCTCTACATTTTCATATAAAAAAAGTAGAATCGAAGTTGAGCTTATAACATAAGTTTGTCTTTAGTGCCCGTAGTAATATGCCTATAGTTGCTGTTGTACACATTTCTGCCTTGCGATCTCGTCTGGTATTTGTGTTGTACATATTCTTTAAAAATGTGTATTTTCAATAGAGCTCAACTCTTCATCAACTGCTTGTACTATAACGCATTACTTTTTTTGCTTTTCTAACATGGAACTACTAGTAGCATTGTGTTTGTTGCGACGTTGGCCATCTGACGAACGTGTATCGTAGCCATCAGACGTACGTGTATTGTAAATTCTTTTGTCACTTGAGCGCTTTGCGTAATTTTAAACTTATAATAGTAATTGCCAGCGTCTTAAATTGTTTCTGAAAGGAATGAAATTTGGTGGTCGTAATTATGTTTTTGATACCAAGTACTGTTTTTTTTTTCTTTGACTTCGGTAACTCTAAAATCAATATCCAAGATTTTATGTGCTCTATAATAACATTCTTAATGCCGATTAAGAGCATTATTATTTCAAGAAATTTGAATTTTAAATCAGTCTCTGGACGGTTAAATTGATTATAATCCAGTTGAAGGTCTTTTTGTTGATATACCTCAGAGTTTAATGCATTTGCTGTAATGTTGAAGCCTAGTTTACCTTAGTTAATATTAGTTAATTTTAGGTAGTATTTTTCTGGAAAATTCTTCATCACAGTAAATATTCTTGACCAGAGCTCTATATTTCTTATCTTTTATGTGCGAGAGAGTTCACAATATCAACTTTATTTTATGATAAACCGCGGTTGGTTCCGACTACACAAGCCTATCGATACGCTGAACACGTGTTGAGTTTATCGAGAGTACTTCCTAGCAAAACCTTCCAGAAACGGGATAACTTACAGCGTCTATGACAGCAGTTCTTCACCCATGGGAATCAACAGTTTGGTTTCTCATTTTATTTACGATATAAGATTTTTCTGTGGGGTAGAACATGAAACCTAACTCGTAAATTAGAACCTAAAAATCGTATATTTCTTGCATGTTGGTGAATGAATCTGCTATCTGCTGGGAATATCTCCACGTGGGTGTAGGACTAACGTGGAAGTCGGGACATCTCGTAGACTTTGACTTCTAATATGCGTATGTAGGATGCTTGCTTATCTCCGTGATGAGGCCTATCAAAACAGCAATCATTCCCTTGTATGTCAGGACATTTTATTTGCACGACATGATCGGAGCGCGTGATAGATAAATTCAGCTGGCTTCGTCACTCATCTTGCTGCCCTTCACAGTCACTAATAGGACTCGGGAGTAAGAAGTTATCTCGAAAGACTGCTGTGAGGAGCAAATCGATAAAATGCGGTTAAATATTATTTGCATATCGGCATTCTTAATCTTTCTGGTGCTTTTTCTGTGCTTAAATGTTGCTGGGTTCTACATGCGATATTCGAATAATACGCATTCTTGGTCAAAGCCATTATTTAACACCAATCTTGCCATCCATGAATTACCGACTGAATTTTCACGCGATGATGAGATATTTGTTGACGAAGCATTGGAAGGAAGCAGTGAAGGTAATTTCTGGAGAATTGAACCCGAAATTTCAGTGGAGTCACATTCACTGGATGATGTCTTGAGCGCCCAAGAAATAGTCTACACGGCAGCTGTGCTCGAGATGGAGGCGGATAGAAACTGGACTCAAGGCGGAAGCGAACAAATTTTCAAACGGAACATTCGCAGCATCGAGTTTTATGCCGCCCAAGCCAAAATTCTGGTGAGTTAATTGGTGGTGATCGATGGATGGCTAAAGGACAAGTTTGTCCGCTACACATTTAGCAAACTATTTTGGTCAGTCTTGATATTCATTTTCGATTGATTTTTGAGTCAGTAGCGTATGGTATAAATTATAAAAGATCATTCATTCACCGTTTCATTTGAACACTTTAATCTTGAGAGCATTTCTTGGCTCAGTTGGTCCAATATTTTTGGGGTTATTTTGTTGGCATTCATGGTTGTTCCGTTAGCGATACGATTCAACTAATCCATTACATAATTAAATTTTTCTCATTGTCACAGTTGTTATGAGTGTTGAAGTTGAATTAAGTTGTAGTAAATAGAGATAATAACTCAGGATTTAATTAGAACTTGTGTTAAGGGAGCCGACATCGTGCTGTGCCCGGAGTACGGGCTGGAGGGACTGGACCATCACTCACGGAACCAGTCCGTGTTTAGCGCGCTCAGCCTTGCTGTTCCCTCGCCGCTAGAGAGCGTGGCGCCTTGTGACGTCAACAGTTCAGTCTTTGATGTGAGTTCTAGCCTTGAAGCTTAAAGAAGAAACATGTTTTATATCTCAAATTCGGTAAGAGAATGTCGCACCAAGTCTAGACACGCTTATACAGCTAACTCTTTTGTAGTAGCATGTTCATTTATATATACAGCTGCTGTGCAGCCCAGTATATATATACTGTGAATCATGACTGAGGAATTCAAAATTTTTATACGATGATGCATCCAGCATCCAAAAGACGGTCGGTTGTTGATGTTGCGCCTACGGCCATGAGCGTACGAGGGGCCGGCTCAGGTGGTGGACAAGAAGGCAGCCAAAAGAGCGAAACAACCTGGGACGAAAGGAGGAGGATAGTCCGCATGGCCGTAGCCTACATTAGACTGTCCTATACTGAGGAGTCGTTGAAGGTTAGGGCAAGCGAAAAAATGCCGAGTAACCTGGAATAGGCCTCTGTGCCTCAAGGCTGGAGGCGCTTGGTGAGGGCTTCTCTCTTGACGTGTGATACGAAGGAACTGTATTGTCCGGAACGGAGCTGAGCAACCGCAGAGTGGTTGGGGGCTAGGGAGCAAGGCTCCTTCGGAAGCTACGGCATGTGGTTGAGTTCCAGGTACCTTACTGGTCTCGTGGAAGTAGCCGAATCCTTCCCGCATTAGACGACAAGAATGATGCCATCCGATAACAGGCCAGCCACGAGGTGCCAACATCTGGACATGGAAGCAGCCTTTATGGACCTGTGTTCGTTAGTAGCGAAGACGATGAGAAAGGAATGGCTGGAGAGTACTGGCAAGGATCTGCCTGCTAGGCCACCCATGCTAGCGCTAGGTTATCGAATAAGGGATGTGCACCTGACTCAATATTGAGGTGGTCGATTGAAGTCATTGTGAGGAATCCAATGATAAATCTCATGTCCAGGTTTTAACTGGTTTGTATAGGCTTGCTACGGCGGTGTGGGAGGCGAACAGGTACCGTTGGAGCATGTGACAGTGAAGATTGGGCTCGTCACCGCTCATGATGGTTTTGTAAGTGGGAATGATGTCCTCTTTAAAGAGGCCTGCGTTTTTGGTTGCGTAGGGTGCATTCCACATTTCTGACATGCCAGAGTTTTAAAGATATTCATATACGCATCGAAAGGTTTCTCTTCCCATGTTGAAAATGTTTTAACCACTACTGGCGCACTGGGCAAGCGTAGGACGTAGACTAAGCGGAATAGCGCTGCCGATGAGCTGATCCTTGAGGGGCTCGTGTGGGAACTGCTATGAAGTGTCATTGATTTCCTGAGACAATGCCTGACGCCTGCCTGCTTCTAAGTTAACAGTCAAGGTTGTGAACTAGATAGTGATGAAATTTGGAGGCTGTAATCGTACAGAGAAGTGCGTGATCGACGCTGTGGAACGCTTTTGAATAGATCGAAGGTAGCTGCCAGTGCCGGCTGCGTCCACCACTGTAATAAAAGTTCTCCACAATCTAATGCGCGGTTGGAAGGTAGCTGCGACCTCCGAATGACACGGTTTGAAGTCATATTTCGACGGAACAGTATCGGTTGGGCTACGAGATGTGGGAGTGGAAGCCGCTCTTTGACCGTTTGTAAGAGGAGAGAAATGGGGCTGGAGGAGCCCTAGTCTTATGGATTAACGGGTTCAGCACCGGCATCATTTTAGCAGGAGTGGAGACAGTTGTATTGAAATTATTAAATTCATAGATTTTTCATAGGAGATTTGCAATAACCAAAACTCAAAAGTTGCGTGTTTTTTCAAGAAATGTCATGGCATGCAACAAACTCATTACTAAGCTGTACATTAGTTATGTTGAACAGTGAACACTGGCACCTTATGGTCAAGTCTCGATTTTCTTGTCATTTATTTAAATATCTGATAGCTAAATTATTTCCTGAACAAGACTAGAGTCAGTTACCGTACATTTAAAAATACGTATACTTTGATTATTCCTCAATAGTAGTGAAGCCATTTACTGAGTAGTTATAGAAACCAACCGAGCCAGATTGCGAGAAGTACTCTTATCCTACGGAACAACTGAAATCTAGAAACGATTTTAAACATACCGTTCGTAGAAAAGATTTTATCAAAAGGCCAGCATTTTAGATCTGCGAACTAGTCAAGAAAAGTAAAAGAATCGGCGACAGGCCTATCCAGGCCTATTCTTCAATGCCGTAGATACTATACTAAGTACAATTTTATGTTTGGTTTCTTCAGCCGCTGCACGAGTTGAGCTGCACAGCACGCCATCAGCAGTTGTACTTGGTTGTTGACTTAGCTGAAAAATCCTGCAAAAACGATACCATCGCAGCAGAATGCGCGCCCGACCAGCTCGTCTACTACAATACTCAGGTCGTTTTCGATCGTACGGGCGTGGTCGTAGCCAGGTGAGACCAAATAACATGACGTAAGTTTCATAGGTGTGCTTGCTAACGCTTTTTTTTTGCCTACTCGTTTTATAGTTATATTTTCAACAGTAAGTTATGACCCTTTTGAGTGAATCATTCATAGGCTAGTAAATATATCTTGATTTGTACAAAAGTGAGGCAAATTTAATGTTAGACAACTAGAAACCCATTTCCAGCCTCGGTGTTACTGCGGCCTGTCATTTTCTTAAAATTATTTTTGTAATTATAATTTTGTATTACGTTTCAACATTCTGGGTAAACTCCAATCAATTATATACATTCTTATTCTATTCAATTTGAATTTCGAGTAGTTTTCTGACGCGTAATCATTCGACAGGTACCGCAAACGCCATCTTTTTTTGGAACCGAAATTCTCGCCGAGTCCCGACTCCATGGATGCCGCTCTCTTCACTTCGGACTTCGGCGTCACGTTCTCATTGCAGGTGAGGGCGGTGTTGCTTCTAAAGAGCTTATTCTTAATTATTTTTTTATTTGTGCCAAACGTAGTAATTTTGTGTGTAAATTTTTCAGTAAGAATTTTTTGGCTGGTAGTGATTGTGGTGTCGGGAAAAGAACGATTATAATCACAGGTGCTTTCTTACTTCGAAATTTCATCGGTCAATCATAATTAGGGAATAAATTTTTCGTGTATTTTTTGGAAATACTTTGATGCGGAAAATTACTACGTAATATTCGTACCTAGGCCTATGCAAATTTCTCTATTTATTAGAAGCTTCCGTTCCCCTAACTCTCGCCCTCAAATTTAACTACGTATAAAATATTTTTGTTATATGAATCATGGTAAAGCGATCGCAATGACTTCAATCATGAAAATGTGTAAACCTTATATGTAGATTGTTTTATTTGTTGTCAATAACTGTGGACTCGCCTTGCTTCACACGCCAGGATGCATAACGAAGATTTCTCATGAGTATAACTTATTATATAACTTATATAATAAGTATAACTTATTCTGACGACGTCTTATCCAACCTCAGATCTGCTTCGACATTCTCTTCGAGGATCCTGGCTACGCTAACGTACAACGCAACCTCACGCGCGACATCGTCATGAGCACAGCGTGGGTGGACGTGGCGCCATTTAACCTGGGTATCTTCCACGATAAAAAAGAATGACATTGTTGCGTGTATTTATTAAGCTTTGTGTTATGAAGTATTATGATATCTTTCATAATACTTCTATTTAATTAATTCTATACTTCTATTTAATTAATTTCATTTAATCGCTTGATTCTCGTGAAGTTTGGATTACTGGCATTGATAAGCTTTAGGAGGCGTTGTCATGAAAATACTTTCTGTTCATTTTTCGTTTAATTTTAGCTTGACAAAAATTACCACACTATTATGTGCTACTCGTACCATTTTGTCTAAAATTGTGGATATTTGTCTCAAATTCGAACCACCTCTTGAGCGACTTATTTTCGATGGAATATATTTTTTTCAGCTCCAAATGTTCAGAACTCGTTCAGTCGTCGGCTGGGAGTGAACCTGCTGGCGTCCAACTACCACTGGCCGGAGCAGAGCAAGCTGGGGTCGGGAGTGTACCGCGGCTACAGCGATATGAAGCACGCGTACACCTACGATCAACATTCTGGTTAGAACTCTGGTTTAAAATGACGGGTAGTTGAACCAATGGCCTACTTGAGGTCTCAGAGTTCAAAAATTAGTACGTTGACTTCTCATCCACGTTGGCTAAATTTTGTCACATTTCGACGAAGTTTGGTCATTTTGGGCGATTTGCTTCTGCGCCTGATATTACCTAGCAACGCGTCTGTGACTGATACTTCAAGTTTATTTGATTGCTATCGTTGCATTGTTGTTGCGAACGTGTTTTTAATCGCGTAGAATTATTTCGCCGTCGATGAACACGTGCGTCTGTTGCGCTCATGAGCAACAGACTTTATACCATTATTGCATCTAATAATTGCGAGACTCGGGAATCGCAGAGACAATTTTCTGATTGCAATTTTATTTATTGTTACCATCTACCCTTCATGACTCTACAGTTTCATATGTATGCATATATGCGAAATTGGAAATTCAGAGGCAGAAATGCGTAAGCAGACCAAAATTAATGAAGTATGACACTATAAAATAATTCGAAGATTTTAGATAGTTGACTTCCGGTTTCCTAGCACCGGAACTGAGGCCTGCAACGGAATTTCTATGATTACGCGTCAGAATATTTACGGTTCTTATTTCTTGTGTTGGCTTAAGATTAACCTTGACATTATTTAATCCTAGGATTAAATTAAAAATTAATATTTCAATCTCAACCAATTTGGCGGAAGCTAGCATTTACAAATTCTCAATAATCTTGCCTGTACTCCATGAAACTTTCGTGTAATTTTTTCTCGTATCAGAATTAATATTTATAAAGCAAAGACCTTCCCTGCCACCTGCACATACTTTCGCAGGAGACGTGCTCGTCGTCGCCCCCGTCAGGACGCGCCTCTCGACGGCGCCCCTGCGACCGCCCTCACCTCGCCTCTCCCGGCCTATGATCCTTAAGGTATTGGATCCTCGAAGGCTCTCCATTCTCTAGTCGTCATTTCATACCCATATTCTTTTATTCACACCCATATTCTTTTATTCACACCCATATTCTTTTATTCACACCCATATTCTTTTATTCATACCCATATTCCTTTATTCATACCCATATTCTTTTATTCATACCCATATTCTTTTATTCATACCCATATTCCGAAATTTTTCTTGTGATCTGCTTCTTCTTAGCTATGCACGAGTTAGCTAGACGCTATTTTTGATATGCATTGCCTTTCATAGTAATCCTTTCCATACATTTACTGGAATGACATTCAGATTACGGCTTAAAGAGAACGAGCTAAAAAACATAATTAAATAAAAAAAAACTCCTAATACAGTTACTGCTAATGAAAAATAACAATAAATTGCGAATAATCTTGTGCATTCCTCACAGTACAAAAAACCGTCTGATGGTCACCGCCAGCTGAACGTACGGCGCTTCCCTATGAAGCTCCTGAGCACCAGCGACGTTCTCAATGCTTCTTCGACGGCAGGACAAGAATTTCACGTTCAAGTGTGCCACAAGAACCTGTGCTGTGACTTGCAGTACCAGTACATGGCCTCTGAGAAGCAAGTATACCGTTCAGTGGCATACAGTGGTCTCTTCCCTGCCGGGGTGAAGCTCATCTACTTGCAACTCTGCGGTGTCGTTTGGTGCAAATCCACTGACGTAGATTCCTGCTCCGACTATGTAACTCAGATGGATGCCTCCTCGGATGTCTTTGGACCTTTTAATGTTGCAGGAAACTTTACGAGTGACATCACATTCCCAAACGCGATGACCAGGAATGAGACGCTTGTCTCCAACGATCTCTACGAGTTCACCGAAGAACCTGGTTATTCCTCCAAGCTCGAGTTCAAACAAGAGGTTCCGTTTTTGCTCACAAGTTACTTGGCCGGCAGGAACTTTTCCAGAGACGTGCCGAACCGACAGCTCACTCAGGAGGAGCAAGAGTCTATTCTTGGGGTTGCAAATTTGTTTAATTTTATTGTATAATTTTTCATCAATTAATTGATTAGTACTATGTCAGATTGCGTCTTGAGCAATGTAAATTCATCGACATTATCCTTCGATGATGTTATATTTCTCTTCCCAATAATAAATGTAAAAATAAAATGTAATGATTTTGTAAAAGCTTGCATGCACATTTTGTGGAGGATGAAAAGCAATCTTCATCATCAGAGTTTTATTCGTCTTAACCTATTACATTCAAGAAAGCTGATCCTAATATGATAGAAGCATTGCTACTGGTCGTCATGTCAGCTAATGAGACCCAAGAACGTTGGAAATTCATCCGCTAGTTTACTGGCTGTCGAAACTGAAAAATTAGGAGTAAAATGTATAAATTTCAACCGGTCGATTTTAACCACCTGGAAAAGCGAACATTTGGGCGGCAGCACAACAATCACAGTCTATACTATATTCGGTCAACTATTAATCGGAAACGAAAGTCAATTTTTGATGACTTGCGTTAATACCTACAATATATGCCGACGGTGAAATAAAATTTCAAGTTTTCGTTTCGATCAATAAGCATATCTAATTTTACGAGTACTGGACGATTTATAGTAAATATGTACATATTTGCTCAGATCTAATACCCCTAAAAACACTCAATCGACAATTTTACGGACCCGCCTGCGGACTCGCGCAACTGGGACACTCATAATTCCTTCAATACTTAACGGATCTGCATGAATTGTGGAATGTGAGTATTAATTATCGATACGCTGCCGCAGGAATTATTACAGAAGTTTACATGAATTATTTTTTAATTAAAACCAATAAACGTATTTTTTAAGCAACTGGGCCGCTCATAATTCCTTCAATACTTAACGGATCTACATGAATTTTGGAATATGAGTATTAATTATCGATATGATGTCCATAGTTATTTAACAATCATTTTTAAGGTCCGTACATTGACTACTTTATTCTTACCCAATCAATACATAAGGAAACAACATAATGATGTCTTGTGTAAACGGTGTTGGCTGACTCGGTTCATTAACAGCTGCGACTGCACAACTTTTATGCCTTCATGTATTAACTGCCACAATTCGCATGTCACTACTCACAAACATTTTCAATTTGGTATTCAAGACTAAATAGAAATATTAAAGATATTTTCACTCCTATGTTACTACCAAAAATTTTGTAACGGAATCCAGAGGTGAGGTAGCTTACGATGGGCTGGGCACCACGTGGCACAGCGACGTAACGGGCCTCCCGTCGTTAGGTTGACTGGACATCAACGTATGCCTGTCGCGTACCTTTTTTGGGCTCACTATACTAAAGTAAGAAATATGAACGAGTCATTTTATCCAAATTGTGACATTTTCTTACCCTCAGCACAAGCAGACGCCTCAATGATACTCTTTTTTGCCCGGGCCAAACTGAGTCAGAATGACCCAAACAAGGGCGAAAATGGCATCTCTTTTTTGTGAAAATTCTCAGTCATTTCTCCGTGCATATAGAATTACAATTACGTATTCCTGGCCACCAATGCGAACACTGAGGACCTTACACTACGTTCCTGAGACTACAGCAACACTGTGATGCAAGAGCTTCAACTACCGTTAATTGTAGAGTGAAAGAAATATGCGCACTGGAATAAAGGGTTATGTAATTTATCAAGGCAGTTCTCTCAATTAATTAGGCTTAGTATTAAATGCTCACTCACTGTTCAAATAAGATGGAATGATTTTCTGAGAGACTCCTTGCTTTGAATTAAAAGCAAATTTAAACTAAACATGTAAAATCCTAATTCCTCAGCTCGCCATTAGACACAAATTGAACAATCAGAACAACAGCACGAGGTGCTCCAAAAAAGCAAATCGGTCGAGTGACGCACGAATCGTTGATATACTAAGCAGAAAAAAGTAACCATCAGAACTTTCCTAATACAAACGAATTACCAATAAAAATATAAGTCTGTATGGTATAAAATAAGGCAGAGATTTTGCTGATGCTATCTTTCTAGAAACCAATTATTTAACTTTCAAGCTGGCCTCGCTCGAACTAAATAATGCACACAAGTTAAAAAGTGAATGAGAAATGATACATGGAAGATATTTTGTATGATAGCAACCATTATCGAAGTTTAACTTAACTTCCTTAGCAGGGCGACTGATGATACATGTAAAATGAAGATGATGCAGCTAGTTCATGCAAAATAAACTGACATTCAAAGACTGGAATAGTTAGGAACAAAATATTCCTTACACACGATGATTTCTACTATACATAAATAATTTGATTTTCAAACTGTTATTCTCTGGTAATAAAAGGAACACCTTGATAGAAAAACGATACAATTTTTTCATTCAGATTGCACTGTGGTCAAGGCCCGTGATTCTTGTTCCGACATCCGTGACCACGGAGAGCAAGTGGAATGTGGAGAGGTGCTACTGCATGAGACTCTAATGAAGGCTCGCATGAAATCAATTTGCCAGGAACTGTGAAACTTGCCAATCAGCTAAACATTTAACCTGAGTATCTTATGAACATCAGAATTACGTTGGGTCTAAATGTATAAATTTTCAACAAGCCGTTCCTAACCAGTATTGTTTATTTGACATTAGTCAGCCTTCAAGCGGCAAGTAAATTTTTTTACACGAGATATCTTTGGTTCCACGACATCAACAACCTCACACGGAGAACGAGAAAACATCCATGCAGCACCACACTTAACATTAAAAACATCGAATTAACACAACTCATTCTTCCTTAGAAAGCTGTAATAAAAATAACTCACTTCTTTATACGTATATACTCTCCTTCAGTAAATAAAAAGACTAGTCTTTATTACAAAATAAGAGATGCCAAATCAACAGCATTTTGAATAAAACAGACTTCCTTGCCGTAAAATTATAGTGTTTCATTAGTAACAGAAGGAAAAAATCGAGATCAGTCAGTGTTTGATGTCTTAGAAATATTATCCCTTCCAGATAAACCGGATAGCACGCAGCCAAAAGTCCTACATAAAAATCACTGCCTTGCTAGAAGCAAACTGGGGAAAGGCCTTCAGAGCGTTTATAAGGAATCGATTGCAGTGCCACAATATTGGTCGACCTGCAACGTCAAGTATAACTTATAATTTTATATTATTAATAAACAAAATTTGTGTCAAACACATGCTTTGTAGCAAAAAATGAGAAAAAAACTCTTCAATTCGTCAGACGATTAAAAGATTACATCCCGAAGCATTTGGTCATCGCATCCTATAAGATAATGGGTATTGACGCATCCAGGGGCATGAATATCATAGCATCCTAGGAAAGTAGGAATTATCGCATCCAGGGCGTGAATATTGGTCATAGCATCCTAGGAAAGTAGGAATTATCGCATCCAGGGCGTGAATATTGGTCATAGCATCCTAGGATAGTAGGAATTAACGCATCCGGGGAATAGAATTTGGTAATAGCATCCTATATAGGATAGGAATTAACGCGTCCAGAGGGTGGATACTGGTCATGGCATCCTATGATAGTAAGAATTATCGCATCCAGGGCGTTGGGTTCCTGAGGACAGCTTGCCTGCGGACGCCCCACTTCTTGCACGTACCGTACCAGTTGTAGGAGGAACACATCTTCTTCTTCTCGAACACGAAGCACTCGGTCGCCACCACGTCGAAGAATACGCGACCAACGAGGTTCGCCGCGCCGCTGTTCGAGGACTTCAGACACGTGCGGAATCTGCGGAAAATGCAAATAGAAGCTGGATTCACGGCTGACACGAAGTGAAATGAATAAGAGTTTTTGCCCAAAAGAATTTGAAGGGAGCGATAATTCATGAGTGTTTCGTGATGTACAACACGGAAGGTAGTATTTGGGTTACATCCCTAATACTTTGGGTTAGCAGTATCATAGAGGCACACGTACGATTCTAACCCGATTTTCGTTAAAGTGAAAGATTGAAATTGCGATTACAATTTCTGAGAAAAATCGTTCTCTTCATCCTGTTGCATCATTAAAATGCGCATCATTTTCCCGACATTTTTCTGGACAATTAGATAACATCGTGAAATTGTAAAATTCACATGTCGTTTGCTTCCTTCAGTACAACAATGTCACCTGAAAGTTGTGAAATTGAGCCCTGAATATCATTGTTTTGCAAGGACTGCACGCATACAAATGTACGGTAGAAATTCGCGGAAATTCTAGAAATTCTTCAACCTTATCATCACCCTATTAAAAGCTCACATTCTGATCAAAAACTGTGCATGGAATAAAGCTTTTCGGTGGCACGAGGAACGTTTCACGCCAGCGATGCGTTCAGGGGCTGACAGATCAATGATAGAAATCCGTTATGGCGTGAGGCCTAATCCTGGAATCTTGAATTGAACCTAACACTTTAACTTCCTTACGGCCAATAGATAGAAACTATCTGGATTGTCTGATCCGAGTAGCGTGAAATTAAATCCTTGGCTTAGATAAAATTCCTCTAAAAGCTCGCTGAAAATTTTCATACTGTGACAGCCAATATTTTTGCATCTACAACGTTGGGTGAGAATCCTGCCTTGTTGGGCGCTCCATCTGTTATTGAAAAAATGTTTCAGTGGCCGGATCATGACACACTTGAAGAAATAACTAATAATTATATACATATAATATTGTTAAGACTGGAATCCAACGCGGTGATATTCAAAATAATTCTAGACAATATTAAAACTTCAAATTTCTATGGCATATGTTACAGATTTCTATAGACTGGAACACTACGCACAATCATTGAGTTTTATATACTGCATTGCATTGGTTTTCATGCGAACTTTTTGGCACAAATGGTAGAGTAGCCACAATAGCCATGCACATTTTCGTGGTTTATTTTATGATAGAGCGAAACGTTGGCGTCTTCTAGGCAATTGAGAGTTATACACGAGATTCATCTTCAAGGCCGTAGTAATAAACGAGGCTCCTGCAACATGTTGACATGAACACTGAACCGTTAACAATCACCAACGATTAAATAGAGTTCAATTAGTTGTTTATAATAATTTTAATGTTATTTTTAACTTATTACGAGGCATGTTTTTAAGTCAGTACCGTTTTGGAATTAAAAAAGACGTGCAAAGATATAGTAATAATTTTATTTTTACGTAAAAGCCTGTACCTTAATCTACTTTTCAACATAATTTCCGTGAATATTTAGGCACTTGTCATAACGTGGCACCAGTTTTTGAATACCCTCCTGATAAAATTCTGCCGCCTGACTTATTAACCACTGCATCACAAATGAAGAGTGCAGTGTGATGCATTTGATGCATCAAGTGCAGTGTGATGCATCATACTGCATCAAATGCATCACACTGCACTTGAAGAAACACGTGGGCGTTCGGCGTCTTCAAGACGATAACGAAGCAAAACATTTGTGATGCAGTGGTTAACAAGTCAGGGTAATTATATCAGGAGGGTATTCAAAAACTGGTGCCACGTTATGACAAGTGCCTCAATATTCACGAAAATTATGTAGAAAAGTAGAATAAGGTACAGGCTTTCATGTAAAAATAAATGATTGCGATATCTTTGCAAGACCTTTTTAATTCCAAAATGGTCCTGACTTAAAAACATGCCTAGGATATCAGCCAGTTCACGCTGCAGCTGACGGCAGTGGACACACTCATGCGATATGCTCAACAATTCATGATTTGATGACCGCTTCCAGTTTAGAGGTAACACTGATATTGTGAACTATTTTCGAGCGTTAAGCGCAAAGTTTGTTCGATATAACTTGTGTGCCTTCGTGAACAAATTTGGAAGTAATTGTGAAACATCAGTAAAAAGTGCACGGTATCGTCGCGTCTGTTGTAATTATTAGAAGCAGTCTGGAGCTTGTATGATTAAACTACGAAAATAAAAACATTTTAATGCGATGGTAAAGAACAATTGGATGGCGAAGGAAAAACACGTTTAACGCCAACATTTCGCAATCGCCGCTGCATATAAACAGTTTCGAGTGCATAAATAAGTAGGATTTTTCATTAAAGTTTAAGTTTTTTATATATTTTTCCATAGGGCATCGCAGAAGAGACAAAATACTGTGCAAGGGCACCGATCCGGTTAATGAGAGCAAACACTACCCTACCTCCATCAGCAATATATACTTTAGGTAGGAGTACTATTTTAGAGAACAGACTTCGTGAACATTTTTAATTTTTAACGAAAACAGTTCAGGAGTTTCGCGTAGAATGCAGACCCGGTCTAGAACAAACCTTGACTCACAGCTTTTTCGGCAATTTTTAAAATTATAGTTTGGCTGTTTCGCAAATCACAACCTTGGATTTCCCCTGTCCTAGCTGTGACTAGACTCCGCATCTGGCCACCCCATGCATGTCGCCCTAAGGCTGGGCCGCGACGGAAGCGAATTCTTCGTATCGACTTTCCGCTCGACTGCGTAGGTTCGATCTTCTTCGCACCGCCGGCGCCATCGAGCGCTTAAAATACGACGGTCAGCGCGGGCGATATGTGATGTCCGATGAATGCGGCCACCGGCATAACTTATGAAACCAAGAACCGAAAATATCCTCCAAGTTGCTGCGCACGCCAAATGCGCTAATAATGCATAAAAATTCCCGGTTCCCAAATTCTTATTTGTACGTTAAGGTAAATTGCATGCTATAGCGACACACATGATCATGACAGAAAACCACTATATCGCAACCTAGAGCCTTTGAATAGAAGCTCTATACTTGATGCTGAATAGAAGTTCTAATTCAATGCAAGATGTTAAGATTTGTGTTATCATCACAGCTAATAAATTTCATATACACGATGGTTATGAAGGATTTTAGCATTAAATAGCGATGGCGAAGACTCAAAATTTCGAAATGCCTGTACTCTTTATGTTCTCGGGCACAAAAGCATTAACATACGTTTGTGAACACGCGTAAGTTTTGACCAAGCATCAATTCATTTCAACAATTGCATTCGATTGCTCGATCCTAATGCTGGAGAGACTATTTTACCACTGTTTCTTCAAATTATTAGAAAAAGGTTTCAAAATTTCACTAGCTACAATTTATTTCAGTCGAACCTCCCATTCAAATAATTGCATGCTAATTTCACTCTAGATTATCTCTAATTACGACCGAGTGAATTGCGTTGCATGTTACAGATATGATTGTTTAATGTTTATGTATCGCCAACGACGCAGTGGACCCTGCACCATGAGTCTCATTGAGGCACTTCAATGTATGAATAAATGCAGTCAGATGTCATGCGTGTTACCCGGGTGATGTCTAGTATATTATTGAGCGCAGTTGAGTGGTCTTCGCTCTCGTCGCGCTACATCAGTAAGTCAGTTGAGGGAGGGCTTCACTGAATTTACGGCTATAAGTTCCTGCAATTAGTCTAAATTAATGCGGAAAATGCGATGTATGAAGATACAATACCTAACATATAATCTCACACGCTTTCAAAGCATCTTGCATGCACAGTTCCTACGACTGCCTCCGAAAATGCAAACAACCATGACGAACTTATCGAGAATGCCAGCGTACATTGCTCATTTGAAAATAATGAAGCTTCTTGAAGATTTTCTTTGCAAAAATACGAGAACCCAAAAACTTTCACACTCTAATGATGCATGATATTAGAGCAACCCTTATAAAGCAACTAACATAAATTTCGAGAAATAACAACGAGAAATAACAATATTGAAGGTCATACATTTTACAGAAATAGAAGGTGCTTAAATTTACGATCGGAAGCTCACAACGACGAAGTATTATAAATAACAAAAAATGAACGCAGAATTAAGAGATCCATGAACAGATGTGAGCCGAGCGAAAACCAATAAAAAAGGTTCGTTGCAGTTTAGGGCATCAACAGCCACCATTTACATATATCGCGGTCAAGTCACCATAGCATATTGGAGCCCAGGCTTATGTCATGTTTCAGGGTTAATATGCAGGAGAAATAACTGTGTTTATCCTTCCGCATTAAATCTGTTTTTTGAAATTTATCAACAAATTCTGCGCGAGTAGTCGACAATTAATAATTATAGCATAAAGATTAATTATTATGCATCAACAAGATCGGCGCATTCCTTGTCCAAAAAGAGTACTGCGCTGCCTGCTTGGCCTTGCTGCGTTGGACCTCAATAATACACATTCTATTGCAATACTCAAATATCGTTGCGAAATAATAATTATTTAACTCACTTAATATACACAATTTAGGATTGAGAAAATGTGATGTGAGTTTAAAACATTATCAAATTAAACAGACACCGATGGTATTTAAATTTCTACAACAGGCTAGATTGTGGGAATGCATATAGCAATCACGCGTTGACTCGCTGAACGAAAAGTGGAGTAGTCTTCGCGGCGCATCACCACGCGGTCCAAACAAAACAAATATATTTAATAGAATAGAAGTGCCGGCACTGAAGAAATAGACGCATGGCCAATTGGTTGCTACCACGCATCTGCAGATATCTACATGAACAACAGCTCAATTATCCAGCTTAATTAAACACATGCAGTGCTTGAAAATATTTACACCGTAGATTTGGCACATTGCTGCTGCGTCTAACCTTAAGATAACATGGAATTATGGCTAAGTGTTAAAACAAGCAATGACCAGTTCGTACCAGAGGTTCCTAGGAATTGATGACATGCTGGATCTTATATATTAAATTCTAATTAAGAGAAAGAAGGCTAGGTTTTTCTTGCAAAAACGTACACATGTCTAAG